TCTGACAATTGACAAGTGGCCGCTGGATTGTAGCTGTCGAGACACAAGCTTCCTTCCGTGTAACTTCCACCAGCGAACGGGGGAAATGCTAGGGCAGCAAGCAGTGCTGGCAGACAGCGAAACGAGGTGCACAACGAAAGTGCATCGGAAACCGAGAAAACACTACATTTCGCGTCGTGTATATATGGCTTCAATGGTGTCGCCATTGTGCAATGTCCCCCTTCTCGCGCCCCCTCTCTCAGTTATGGCAGTTGTGCCGTGTCTAATACTTGTGTGCGCTGCAGACATTAGCACATTGTCACATTGTCTTGTTAGTATCTCTTCCTGTGGGTTTTTCCAAAGGGGACAGTTCACGAGCCTACTGCATCCCTTGTCGTCAGTTCAATGCAAATCGCCCCGGGAAGATGATCCATCAAGCTTGTTATCAAAGCCATGGGCACGTTGAGCCAGCGCTTCTGTTCTATGACGATATCCGATAAAGCGATCCTCGGCGAGGCACCATGGGTGTCCAGACTCAAAAAGCGTCACATTGAACCACCAGTTGTCCTTTTCCTTTTACGCTCACGATAGGGGAGTACTCGTCTCTCTGGACGACACTTCGAAGAACTCGTAGTCCCGCCCCGAATCATTCTTATCGATGATCACACGCCCAGCGACGCAACCCTGGAGGACATCTCCATGATTCTTGCCAGGGCACAGCCCTGCATCCTCTCAGTCTCGTCCAGCAACTTCCGCATGGCTTCCAGCTGCAGAGAAATGTGAAGCTTAGTAAAAATTTCGATGCCGTGGATATGCTGATTCACGTCACAACATTACATTGCGGTTTGAAGCCGCGTTCAGAAATTCAATGCAATTTCATCGTGCTATACTGTGGGGCAAGTTGCTCTAATAGTTATCAGCATTTTGCGAAATCAATTTCATCAGGTATTTCAGAAAAAGTTTTATGTTCAATGCAGCACGTGGTCTCCCATGTATGCGCCAACATGGGCGCCACAATAGGTCATGTATTATGGATATTTTGGGTCATGCACCATTTTCGCAACAAAAGAGACGCTGAAATCGGCAAGGAAAGGTAGGGGAACATTTTAAATTAGATAAAACAATGTCACTAGCTTTCTTCGTTGCATTCCACGGAAATTCCCGAGGGATGGCTTTGCCGCTCGCTAGCACATCACCGAAAAGAGGATCTGTTCACAGATTTCAAATTTCGATTTTATTTAAGAAAATGACTGAATCTGAACACTCGAGCCGAAGAAGATCTATATCAATCGGGAAGAAGAGAAAACCTTCTTCGATTAACGTATTCCTTCTAGTACGCCAAAATGCGCACTGGCTATTGATGGCCATTGCGACCGCCCGAGTTCGCTTTAGAACGTCGCACTCCTCCGGTGCAGTATTGCATTAATGTTCCAGTAGTTTAGTTACACCCCGTCGAAAAGTGGTTAGAAAGCCAGGCTGGAAGCGATAAGAATAGCAGATGTTGCTCCAGCGGGAGCAAAAGGACAAACAAACGGGAAATATCAATCCTCGTCCTGTCTGGTGAATCAGACACCCAGCAACCCCGTTGCGCTGCGCTCGTAGCACCCTGAATTGCTGCCCAGGCCCACTCGACTTGGGTTGTCACGCATCGATTTCGGAAATCGGCCTCGATGTGTCAATACATCTAAACATATGTCATAGCATACGTTTCTACTCAGTGCACCATGGGCGCATGCAAAAAATCCCCACCCCCCCCACACACACTTTAGTCATATTATACTTGTTCTCAATCAGTGCTCCAAAGAAGGAAGCCATCTACGATCGATAGGACCCACAGGCTATTGACTTCAACATTGAAGTACAAGCTCAGATTGGCGCCAAGCTTGTCCTCACCCAAACGACTTGATCCCACCCGGATGATCCACGCAATCGCACCTGGCTGATTTGCGCAGGGAGGGTGTGCATCCTCGGGCCGCCACACCCACTACCGGTAGCGGTAACGTTGAACACGTGATTCGCCGCCCGAATATCCTCGCTCCTGGCAGAGTCGTGATGGCCCAAAGCAAGGGGAATTCTGTCAGAAGCTGCAGCGAAGGTTTGGGGAGACTGTGGGCTGGCTTCGGGCGGGCCCTGGGGCCCGGGGCGGCCTTTGGACGGGCCACGGGGAGCGGGCGCCCTCGCGCTGTCCAGATTTGGGCCCCAAGGGTGTTGATCTGCGGCCTCGAGAGCCGCGCCTGGGAGGGCGAACGAAGCTTCGGGGGATGGAGCAGTTGGCTTTGAAAACGCTGACAGTGAATTATATTCAAATGTTGTGACACATGTATCGATGTGTGTCGCAATGTACTTCACTGAAATATGTAGGTTAGGTGGTATATGTAAGCGAGGTTTTGGTATGGTCGACGCGAGCTTTTCTTCAATTGTCGAAGTTGTCGCGAGCGCGGAAGGAACCCGAGCAAAATGGAAAATTTTGTCGGCTGTTGCTGTCTGCATGATACGGAGAATTGCGCCATTCTATCCAGTTGTATTGAAATTTCAACACACTCTTATTAGTACTTTTGCAGAATCTGTTCAATATGGTAATTTAGTATTAAGTGACCCAAGTGAAGTTTTCGTCTGTACCTCAACACAATCATCACCAGTGTGTCCACCACCAACAGCCGCAGTGCTTTTTTCGTTAACGACATGTGGCTGCTTTGTGGGGGCACAAGGCCGTATTATCTGCATTCAAAGTATAGGGGAACAAGGGAAAATATGAAGAGGTAATAGGCCCACAAATTGGAGGGTATCAGCAGTGTGAATTCATAGGTTTTCCAGAAAATATCGAGGGATTTTTGTGTGGACGTCGCATTGTCACAACAGTGTCCATTATGGACATTCCGTGTGTAAATCATATTAAAATTATCTGTACGATGGGTAATTACCCATGGCGACAAGCAAGCGAACTTGATATTCCGCAATTGCAACCAGAGAGCGTCAATTGAGTTTAATATCATGAATCAAGATATCTTGATAAGAAAGCAAACGAATTAATGGTGTAAAAGGCCTGAAAGCAAAGATTCAAACGCCAGATGGGAAAACACATTGTGTAAATATGCCATGGGTCTTGCATTTGAATTGCAAAGCGTGCCACAATTACTAGCGATTCCGACATTGATGTCGCTCAAAGTTCATGCCAACGCTTTTTAATTCTTTCCTTCTAATTTGATAGCCGCACACATTCTAATATACTGAGAAATGCTGCGCTTTTTGTTTTAAGATACAAGACTTATTGAAAATTTCAGAATGTATATTAGCTTGACTCAAATGATTCCTTCAATTTCAGAGTGTTTTACCAATATCTTTCCAAAAATTTTATAGAGAAGTGTATGCGTTTACCATGTGTAAATATCTCTATTATACATATATGTGTAAGTGCGCGCACCTTCTGGTTCATCCACGATTTGCAGCCCGCCATTGAGGCCTACAGTCTGAAGCGGTGCAGCGGCTTTCGAGAACGGCACCACCTCCGTCGTGTCCGAATGCTGCACATGCGCGAGGGCTTCCGCCACTATTGTTTCCAGCGGCACAGATTTCTGACGCAACAGAAAGGGGCACACAAGCGTGATCGCCCTGATGAAAGAAGAATTCTGGGAGAGCGCAAGGCCATGATAGAAGTTAACGAAGAAGCGCATCAGTGCGTTTTTTCAACATTCTTTACATTTTGAATTTCACACTTTACATTTTGCACTCTTCATTTCACATTACTCTTTCCACCATTTGCATTTTGTGTTCTGTTTTCCTTTATTTAAATTATGCATATAGTGGGTCAAAAAGAAATTCATTGGTGCTCCCTTGGCTCCCTCACCTGTAAATCTTCTTCTCTGCGTTTTTGGCGCCTTCTGGCGAATTCGTCGGCCCTGCGGCCGCACGTCTCTTTCAAGGCGTCGTAATATTCTGGGAACTCGCTGAGCACCTCTTCAAAGTCCTCCCTAGTGAGGATGTACAAGTCCGTGGCGTGGATGGCCTGCCGCATTAGCCGTTTCTCATGTCGTGCATAGCCTCCAAAATCTTGCAGTGTAATGTAATTTCCGTATTTCAGTATTACATTCACATTGCAATGCTGGACGCTCTCGAAAATTGCATAGTGTAGTGTAATTCCAAATACTTTAGGCCGTGCTCTTTCTTTCGTTCTACAGCTGCAAATGTTGATTCAGATTTTGAATCGATGCTTGATTCAAGCAGTTTCCCGTCCAACACAATGTGCACTCCAAGGTGGCGCTGCGGATTCAGTACTCAGCCGATTGACTCAAAAATTTGGGAGCACAAAATGGGTTTGAATTAAAACATTGTGGGAGATTTTTGTGAAATATGAGATGAATTAGTAGGTTTTCCAGTCCACACGATTCATATACGCAGTTTGGATCTGGGACGGAGGAAATAATATTTCTGGAAATGCCCAACAGTCTTATGCGGCAAGCTCGGGTTTGTCTACCGCTGCTACGTGACACTTAGCAATGTACTGCTCTTTTTTATTCGATTTTCTTCTTGAAGGCGTACACCGCCAGAGGCGTATATTTTCAACAGCTCCCATGATTATGGCTGCACCAATGTGCCGAACAAATTTATGCAACATGTACACCAAAGCACATGCACACCATCGTATGTTATCGCTAGGCAAAAAGGGCCAAATAACACTTTTGCGAATACGCATAAAACACATTTCATCAAAGTTCTGCACGCTGAGAACACAAAAATACCACAAACCCGTAAACTTTGTACACGTTTGAGCACGTGTTAGTTTGCCCTTTCTTCCCTAGTGTATTCAGTGCACCAATTAAGAATGCAGTACACAGTACGCAGTATTCCTTTACTAATTTTCAATATTTGAAGTACTATCGAAAATATCGTGTACTAGTTGAAATCTTAATTAGGCGTAAAATATCATATCCGTACTGTATGCATTGCTTCCTTTCTTTTCTGCGCATTTGTTTCAGCGCACGCTTCCATGCATTTTCCAACATATCAATTACCAAACAATACTTTCAGCGTGTCGCGCCGCGGGATGACGCAAGCGGCTCCACCCTCACGTCGACATTCTCCGTCCTTCGCCTTCCGCTGAAGATCTCCAGATCCCCGAAAATGTCCCCTTCCTTCAAGATGGCGAACACCGTCTCCCTGTTGGCTCCCGTCACCTTGACTTTGCCGCTCCTGATAAAGTAAATTTCCGAGGCGGCCTCGCCGCTCGAGATGATGGCTTCGTTGGACAGGTAGGCCTGCGGCTTGAGGCGAAGCATCACGGCCTTGATGAAGGCCTTGTCGCACTTCTTAAAGAGGTACGAGTTCTGCACTATGTTGGACTGCGGCGGAAGAGACGGCGTCAGAAGTGGGTTTGCGCGCGCGCTGTGCGCTGGAATCTTGAGCGCCCGGAAGACTTAGAGCGGCTAGTGGACGGCGTCGCCATGGCTACGGGGATAGCCAGCGATCCCGACCAAATGAAGTTTCCGACACTGGTGTCACCCAGTACTGGGCAATCTTCGACGGGAACGCAACAAAACGTACTCTCAATGGCGATGGACGCGACATCCAGCCGATCATTCAGCTTAAAGGGCTTCAAGGCGGGCATTCAAGGATGTCATTAGAAAGGCCAAAAAGCACATCTGTACACAATTATGCAAAGGCGCTACCACTAGGAGTGCTTGGGAAAGGTTGCAAAATCGGAATTTGGGACCTGGTCTTCCAATTTTGACATTGCATTTGACATTTCGCTGTTTTCAGCTTGTAAATTGCTTTTCCAGGCCGTTTGATATAATTCGAGACGGAAACGATCTTTGAAAGTGACTTCAATATTATTCATATTCTAGGCTTCCACCGTGTTACAATGGAACAAAATCGAGCTATGTAAACAGCGGTTTCAGTGCTGTTGCTCACCACTGGCGCCTGCACCTTCGCGATTATTTAGATATTGCTAATTTTTCGCATTGTTGATTTGCTTGTCCTGTTTTTGCGCACTTTTCTTTTTACATTTTGGGTATTCTCTTTTCGTTGATTCAAATCCTGCGAAGTTTGGCCAAGAGTCGCTTTGGCAGGTCGCTGCACCTGCAGTTCCATGAGCACGTCCACTCTGAGATTCTCCGGCAGATCCGACAGCAGCGCGTCCACATCCAAGCCCTGCTGCATGATCCAGATGTGCTCCACGTTCTGCCGCACTCGCAGCGCCATGCCGTGCGGCACGTTGTACACTCGGAAGAATTCCTTCAGCGTTTCCATTCTGTCCCTGAACCTGGTCCAGGAAATGAGAAAGCACTTACAGCACCTTTTCCGTAAAGCTGTGGTGTAATGCTTGGTATTTATTCCACTGGTTATGCAGTGGTTGTACTTTGTTGCAACTTTTTGTTACCGCTGGCGCCAGTGACTGGATGGCTCACCAATTCCATCATCCCAAAATGAATTATCTTCGACACTGGACCAGTACAATTGCCTTAGGGGACTGGCGAGTTCTCCCGGAGGTCAGCAGCCATCTCGCAATGTGGCGGCAAAACGTCTCTCGAGTGCCTTCGCCGCAAGCGACCGTATGCATGGCGATAATAACGTGATATATACTGCACGTTTAGGTTGGTTGGGAGATTGAGCTCGACCAAGTTGAGAACTCCGGAATGGACGGGTGTGACTCGTGGTCACGTTGTTCGACCTCAATGCGAGTCTCCGCATCACCCACAAAACTACTCTTAAGAACAACCTACAAATTTCGTCAACGTTGGTTACGCACTAAATGCTCATCACGACTGCACTGACAAAGTGTGCAAATGGCCAACTTGATAGGATTTTGGACCCAAAATACACTTGTTTGAGAGGTTCGAAGCAACTTGCAGTACCGGCAACAATGAAACCAACGAGGATTTGATACCTACATTTGTTTTCATTTTTATTGTATAAATTTTACTTCCTCCGTCCGGAAATAAATGAAACAGTGTGTTTAAGAGGCCATATTTATATCACATACTTGTGAGTTTTCCTTCAAAATTGGACCAAGATACTGCCTATACATTTGCTATATGCTGCCAAATTTTTGTGGACAATGGATAAGTAACGGCCACGTGGCAGTACTTTGAACCCTTGTGATTCCGGTCAAAAAGTCCTGGTTTCTCAAGGTCTGGCCGAACAGCCCCCAAAACAGGTCCTTGACCAGGTCGCCTTGCGACTGACGGTGCGCAGCCCATAGTGGATATCTGTTGCTGCCATCTTGGTGGCAGGTCGACACCGTCCCTACCAAAGGAGGAAGAGCATGAAACCGGGTTCTATACCGCTCGATCCTTGATGGCCTTATGAGGACAGCAGCTCCGGATCGGAGACCCAGAAATCTGCGAATCTCACAATCACGGCGTTTGTAGAAACGGCCCCCACCATGGGCGAGGACGCCATGGGTTCTAAGACCACCACGGAAGGTTTGGGAGATTGCGATCGTGCCCTCGCTGCGTGGCAGCCAGAAGATCGTTGAAACTGGCTGTGGTGGGCACGTGCCATGAGAAACACTTTGCACTCCATTCACGCCGCTTTCAAAGGCGCTGCTGCAACTAAGCTTCGCCCGTGCTATTGAAAGACGTAAGAACGCCACCATAACAACGTGGGGTCTTCAATAGAGCTTCCAAACCCTCCATTGTTATGTTCGGCAGGGTTGAAACCTGTTTGGAAAGAGGGGTTGCTTGCATCTGGAAGGCACTTAATCGGAGATCTATGCTAAACACAGAGCTTATGTTGCGCGCAAATATCCTGCGGCTAGTCTTTAGCCACTAGGAGACTTCTAGGCAGTGGGGGATCCCAGGAATGTCTGTGTGCTTCTGTGGAAGATTGGGGGGATTTCGAGCATCCATCGATGGCGGTACGCAGACATAGGTGCCAATTCCGTCGATCGTGCGTTGCGAAGGGTGTCGATCTTTGGGCTAGAGCCCGAGCGCCAAGGCAACTCCACCCTTTTGTTACTTTGAAGACCACTGGAAAGGGCATCACTCGTGCGTCGCGCTTTCCTGGGTCCGGGGCGCTAGGTTTTGGTGGGGTGGGGACTGACTGCGAATGTTCAAATTCTGGTGCTGAGTCGCTTGGCTTCAAAGTACTACCATATGTCTGAATCTCATTTTCTGTCGATAAATTTTTGACAGGATTGTCTAAACACATAGTAGATACGGTGGTCCAATTTTGAAGGAAAAATAAAAAGTACATGATAAAAATGTGGTCAGTCAACAAATTGTTTCATTTAATTCCGGACGGAGGAAGTATATTATTTCTATTTATATTTTTATACTACCTCTGTTCCAAAAGTCTTGTCTGTTATCCGAATCGCGCAAATAGAGTTCAAAACTTGCGAGTCAAAAAATTTGACCAAAACCACTTCGATGTGCCGTATCAATAGCTATCCATAGAACTCTTAAGCTTGGGAAACGGAGCTGCCATTCTTGAGATATGTTAAGAGGAATACAGACGCCACTTTCCATTTCGCCGGGACATAGAGTCGGGCATGGTCAGCTCGTACTGCCCTTCGATGAAGCTGAATCAAGCTGTGATACGCCTAGTAGAGACGTATGACTTGGTGGTTGGGTATTCGCAAACGATGCAGCCAGATTCCGAACAGAATCTGCAATTCAATATTTGATTTTTGCCGCACGGTTTGGCTGTTGACGAGTACTGTGCGAATGTTGAGGCCAAAGGCCAACCTCCAATCCCTTGTTCTGGGCAAGAGCATCAACCTGGTAGATGTTCAAGGGTCTGGGAGACGGTGCATGGTGACGCTAACCAAAAGCATGGCATAAACTGCTGCCAACATGGCCAGTAATTGAAATTGAAAATTTCTGAAACACTATTTAGCGTAGTGGAAGAGATGGTCCACAGCTCTGAAAGGGTGTAATAATGCTTATTTTTTGTACCCAACAAGGTTATTGAAGAATTTGGGGGAAATAGGCTGGAGCACATCTAGATAAAGTGAGCACAAAAGTGTGGAGAATTGTGGCCCCGACACAAGCGTACATGGGCGCTGTTGATGAGGCTGAGTATGTACTGCTATGTGGTGGTGAATAATGCAACCAAGATCCACATCGACCCAAAATCGACCAAGGAATCCGAATCTGGCGACAGATAGGTTAATTGAGTTGATTGCAAAGCTATAGCGAAATTGGATAACGGACACGACTCTTGGAACGTAGGTAGTAATATACTATTCTCTTTCATATTTTGAGTTCCATTTCTCGCTTTTCAGGGTGCACTATAACTTTGATATAAAAGCAAGGGTCACAAATTGGTCTCGTCTAAACAGAGTGATATTTCTAAACATCAACACACAATTTTCGAACAATTGAAACCACACGTAGCCGGCGATAATTGACTGAACAACAACAAGCAAGTGCCAACACTCATACATTACACGAACTCAAAAATCTATGCTGAATGTGACCCTCTTCAATCCAAAACTTGGGCCCCAGGTTACCTGGCGGAGGAACTGTCAAAGTTGGCGACGAGCACCGCGACGTTTCCCAGGATCAGCGCTGTGGCTATGGCTCCCAGCAACTGCACGAGCATGGTGTACTGCCTCTCGTAGTTCGTCTTTGGCGTTATGTCTCCGTATCCAACCGTGGACAGGGTCGTAAGAGCCCAGTACACCGAGGCCGTGTATTTGGTCTTGATGTCGGCAGTGCGGTAAGTGCTGTTCTCGCCGGCCAGGGGGACCTGGCGACAAGCCCAGTCAGTGGCTGCCAAATGTGAATGTCGGCATTCGGAATCATGTGTTAGAATGCCATCCTTAAGCGGTACCATCTGGGACTGAATGCGCCCTGATCTTGTCATGCTCAGCGCCAAACCGGCGCCAAGAGTACTCCCCTTCCCTTCATCTGCTAATCAGTAGCTATGCCAATGACCACGTTATTCGAAAACATTTCTCAAAAACGCGAACTGACAAAATACACCGATATTAAGATAAACATAACAATAGACCAGAATGAACCAGGCTTGGTTTTTACGCCGTAAAAACTGATCGTATTTACGTTTTTACGCGTAAAAACAGTTTTTACGTTTTTACGCGTAAAAATGCGTAAAAATACGTAAATACAACGTAAAAACTGCCCGGTGTACATAAGGACAGTACATACAGACTTGCGGAGTCCGGAGAGTGGCAGCCAGACGCCCTGGAAGGGGCAGAAAATGAGCTTTTGTCAGACACCATCATCGCCCTTGCCAAGGGCGAGGTGGACACTGTATTGCGGGTGCTGGATATGGCGGAGGACTGATCATTGTACGCAACTTTCATCACGTAATCTGGGCGTCCAAGGGAGCCGTAAAAACGTAAAAACAGCCGTAAAAATAGGTCCTTTTGCAAATTTACGTTTTTACGCGTAAAAACGTAAAAGTAAAAACGTAAACGTAAACGTAAAAACCAAGCCTGGAATGAACTGACTGTCATGTGAATTTTCCGAAGGGGGTAAATTTGCGTAATTCTTTCCTCACCTCTAGCCATGTGTCGTTTCCTGTAAAGGAGTTGGCGTCGAATTCCTCTATTTCCCATCGTCTGGAAAACGCAACGATACGATTTGGCGACCACACAACGATTCTAAATACAGTGACCAGTGAACTGGATTTTGTCACTAAAAGTGGCGATTGCTGCACATTTGCAGACCTGAAAACTTTCATCTATCCGAAATGCTCGGAATATTTAAATAGCTCAACGACAAACACCCTGCTCGGCATGGGAAGGTGAAGAATAGGAAAGATGAAGAATACGTCAAGAATATTAGTCCAGATTTTAATGTCCATGTTATAATACAACCAATATCATGAGAAATGGGACGTTTTGAAGGGCATGTTGTTACGTGTTCACAATATGGCAAAGAGTTAAACAGGTGAAACCATTTACAACTTTCGACACACTTACCTGTGTCTCCCTAATTCAAAGTGAATTAGCGTATTCACCAAAGGTTTTCTGTCGTGAAATACTTTTTAGACTGCTTTTCAATGGTTACATTGAAACGAAGTCGACGTGTGCTCGCAGCAATTCTAGCGTTGCTGTGTTTGCGAGTTTGAAGCACACTCTTCAAAATTCAATAGCCAAGCCAAAGCGTTGAGCACCAGACATGCGACTATATGCTGACGAGGTCAGGCAGGATCGAGGGGCGGCGATCCCTGAACGAGGATCATACGCTCGAATCCATGGCAACGGTTTGCAGCCGAGGCAGAGGGACAACAGGAGCTCTGTTGCTTATATTCAGTCCGTTCATCAAAGCCCTTAATGC